CGACCTCATTAAAACAATGAACTATCATATTATTTATGCTTTTCTCGACAAATTGAACATTTTCGTACATTCGTATGTAGCAATATGTGATTTAGTAGTTCATCAAAATCAACACTTTGATGAAAAGACTTATTTCTACCACCGCCTGGAAGTGATTTGTGATATCGTTAAAAAGAGATTAAACTAAATGTTCGTGCTGATGTTTGTCAAAAAGCTAATTGGCCATCTTCATGACTAGCAACCCTCAAGCTAGTCTGAACGTACGCATCTTAGAAACGAAATCTTTTAACATTGTTACTATGACATATAATCGGTGTAGGGTATTGAGCAACATTCCCCGCCTGCGTTTGTGATTTACATCTACGTTTATTTTAGGGCTCAGAATACAATTGCAGCTTTGGCTACAATCTTTTTTAACTGCGCTTTCCCTAAAACAGGAGAATAACTGCAGCTAAAGCTACGACGTCGCGGAATGAGTAGGTGCTCTAAGTCCCAGCTTTTCGATAAAAACTGAAAGCGTCTAAATTGTTTGTGAATGTCTTTGCCTCCGCAAGTTTACAAATCGTGTAGTCTAATCATTGCCGGAATTTCAGTACTAATTTTTTGACTTCTAAGCCAAAAAAGGTGGTAGATACATGTGGGTTTACATAACTGGCTTTTCGTATAGTAATTACTCGACTTTATGAGCGTGTATGAAGCTAAGTTCTAAAAATTTCTGAGTTTGGCTAGACATCTTGGAGATAGTGTTTAATAAAACTCGAGCATAGAAAATAGATAGGTCTTGCGAGTACGCTTCATGTTAACTCTCATGTATCGCATCGTTAAACTATCAATTCACAATTTAAGGATTTTTTTGCACATCGTTATGATTTTGCCGAATCCCTGCGTTGTCTACACTATTTGTGTAGTCAGTGTCTGATACTCTACTCAGATAGGAAAAAATTTCAAACTTTATCTAGGAACAGACGCTTTAAAGGACTATCTTCATTGAATATTGTTCAGTCATTTTTTAACGCGTTATTACAATGAGTCTCATTGCAAACTTTTCACTTTGTTAATCGATTAAGCTTTTGTAGTAAGTTTCCAGTTAACCGATGATTGCAAGGCAAACTCGTTTATTTGACACCGTGTTTGATTGCGCGAGCAGTTGGGGCTTTGCCGATTGTATTTCTGCTCTGCGGCATAGCTTCCGGGCCATGCCCGTAGCCTAGGCCCTTCTGTAAGTTAGTAAAATATTTTCTGCTATATTACTGTGACTTCTTACCACTGCATTGGTGTTTGGAAACAAGATAACTCAAAATTGATATAAAAGATTCAACAAACGGGTATTTTAACTTGAGTCCATTTGAAATGCCTTTTAACGGCTCTGAGCCTTGACGATTACAAGAGACCTTTCCACAGTCATTAAGTCTTAAGCCAGCACCATAAAGCTTTGCCTTCATTAAAAGCAGTGAGATGCAAAGATTTTGCAAACAGTCAAAACATATTTAATTGTGACAATCATCAAACCACGATCTATTAAAGTGTAGGACTATCAGTGGAAAATATAAAATTCATAAATTTAGGTGTTACTGAATATTTTCTGGCCAATTACTAACTTTACAATAAATTTGGCTTAAAAAGGCACAAGCGTTTGAATACACTTCTCAGTTAAATCCTCGACCGAAGATCGTACCTGCTCTTCGACCCGGCTATATTTGTGCAAAATGCAGGTGCTGCTTTTCATAATTTTTTGGCACAACTGTTGCCGTAGCTTTGAATCCGGTTTTTATTAACAAGTGGTGTTTATTAGCAAAGACGGCTTCATATATAGCAACATGTATTTCAATGGAATTTATTTATTGTAATATGAACTTTTTGTAGTGTTGCTTAATAAAACCGCTCAAACCTACCTTTACTTTTGTGTTCATACTAAGTTAGTGTTGAAATGGCGAACTTTGTTTAAAGACCTTCCAAACCTTTACTGCAGTTGATAGAAGCTACGGAACTGTGACTCATGGTGTTGTTGCATTAACTTTCTGCGATGGCTGCCTTATAGCCCAATTGTTCGAGATGGTTCATGGATGTTTTGTACATTATGTGCAATGGGTATGCTTTCGAAACAGCAGTAACCAGTCCCTGTATTTGGTCTCATGTACTTCTTAACTGAGTTTAAATAAAGAGCTCCGCTCTTCTATCCAACCTGGGTTAAACATCCATTTTGGCAATGTATTTGCCCCATTAGTATGCCCCGCATTCCTCTGAAAAATTAGTCATTCATAATAGTCACCAAAGTACACCAAGCTCATATTGAATTGTAGGTCACGTTTTAGTCGAGTTTTCCAATGGGTCAACTCATATCTGGCCCAGTAACATTTAAGGAAACCAAGGTATGGCGAAATTCCCAGTTCTCCGTAGCTGCGTCAAGCATGCAGGGTTGGCGTGTGCGGATGGAGGACGCCTACGCCTGTTTCCTCGATCTTTCCACCTCTGATATGTCCTCTCCTCCCACCGCCTATTTCGCTGTTTTTGACGGCCATGGTGGTAACAAAGTCTCCGAATACGCTGCTACCAACCTTCATGCGAAGATAATGGCTGAACCGGCTTATGGTAACAAGAATTCACGCTCGCAACCGATGGCAAGATGTTTCCTTACTATAAACCTGTTTAATTTACTTTCAGCTAAAGGCGATCTAGTTGAAGCGATGCGGTCGGGAGTTTTGAAGCTTGACGCCGAAATGCAAGTCAAATTCACTGGGCACTTGTTTAACTCCGGCACGGCAAAAGCCTCTTTTGATTCCTCTGAAATAGAGGTAGAGGGGAGATTGTCTTTTCCTTCCCCGAGTGATGGCGTGGACGTCGGAGGCTCCACGTGCATAGCATTGATGCTGCGTGGGAATCATGCATATTGTGCGAACTGTGGAGACAGTCGCGCGGTGCTTAGCCGGCAGGGTGTGGCTGAACCACTGTCCGTAGACCACAAGCCCACCATGGCTTCTGAGTGGAGCCGTATTGTTGCCGCTGGCGGCTGGGTGGCGGCAAATCGGGTAAACGGCAACCTAGCGCTCTCACGGGCTCTCGGCGACTTTGTGTACAAGCGAAACTCCACCCTCTCCGCTGAGGAACAAATCGTTTCAGCCGAGCCCGATATCACTCAATGCGAGTTGAAGGTCACCGAGACGGACGAATTCATTGTTCTTGGTTGTGATGGAATTTGGGATGTGATGACCAATCAGGAGGTCATCAGCTTTGTCCGTAGCCGCCTAGCCAATGGTCGTTCTCCTGATCTTGTAAGCTGCTCTTCCACTCTCAAATCTTTCTGCCCTTTTTTGCACTGCTTTCGGTTCTGAATTAGTGTCAGCCGAATCTTTGACTCCATTTAGCGAGGGACTGGGCCCTCTACTTCTGCCACCATAGTCTCAGAGAATGACTGATCACGACACCCCAGGCGCGACTCAAACTGTCACTAGTTACTGTATCGTTCATTCATAACATTCTGAATAAGCGATCCAAGTTATTTTACAAATTGGCGAGTTTTTTTACCATCTTAACCTCAACAAATTCACCTGCAACATGACCTATTGCATTTAGTAATCATAGAATAGTAGAGTATATGTCATGTACTTGTGATGCTGGGGTCTGACAAGGGAATTGGGACACTAAACATGTCAACGCATTCATCTTCAGGCAGTGAAATCCATTATTTGTACACGTCTTTGTCACCTTACCAACTTTTCCAACTTGGCTGGAATGAGTATCCCCAGGTGGATTAGATAGGGAACGCTTACGACTACGTGTGATGCCTCCCGTCTTTCATATCCTCATGTACGTGCATGACACTCACAATGGCGTCTCGTCTAACATTTGAGATCTGCGAGGAGTTGATGATGCATTGCTTGGCGCCCAATTGCAACCCCAATGGACTGGGTTGCGACAATATGACAGTCGTCATCATCTGCTTGCTCAACGGTGGTACCTATGAGGACCTGAAGCAGCGTTGCTCGCGGCTCTGCCCCGCTGGCCTAGCTGTCGATGTACTCTCGCCCTAGTCGGATGTCACCCCTACCAGACCTCATGCCTTTCATTAACTGTATTCCTTGACTTCTATCGCACTTCCTATCCTTCTTCTGTTATCTTTTTTACCTTTGAAATGCACTATTTCCTGAGTTAAAGGAGACACTGGTTCATCGCTTGGGTGTGATCCACGTTGCTGACAGCTACAGCTTCAGATATTGGGGCGTAGTTCTTCCCACTTAAAAGCGATCACGCTTGAGGAGTGCTGCTCGTGTTACATGACGGAAGGCGCGACCAAGCTTTGATTGAAAGAGGAACGTATCTGCTGGAAATGAAGAGCGTTATCTAATGCTATTCCTGGAGCATACTGTACAGTTCCACGAAAAGTATTGTAAAATCAAAGGATGGGGCGCCGATGTGTACACGCTTAAATGGAAAAACTTTCGCCGCAACCGCAGGTTCCCTTGACATTGGGGTTGTTAAAAACGAATTCACTGGAAATCAGAGTTTTTCGGAAGTGCATTTCTGAGCCGAGGAGGGTTAGTTGAGCCTTCCTGTCGATGAACACGCTGACGCCGTCCTGTACGACCACTTCATCGCCTTTCTGTTGCTCAGAGCAGAATGCGAGAGTGTAAGAAAGACCGTTGCAGCCACGCGTCCGGACGCCGATTCGCAGACCGATTGCATCAGGCTGTTGGGACAGAAGTTCTCTGGCGCGCTGGAGTGCACTGTCTGTGAGAGTGATAGCTTGGAAACGACCTTTCGGTAGTTTAGTCAGACGCCTAGGATTATTCGTGGTACGGACGGAACTCGATATCGTCCCTGCACGGCGATATAAAGCCAGTAATCTGGTGGGAAAGCGTAGTTCTGTAAGGGCTTGGAGAGTGCTGCGTGCGAAACCCGTCCATCCAAACATATCTGACAAAAAGGAAATCCAGGCAAATAATCAGAGCATTGACCATAGAATGTTTATAGGGATAATGGCCAGTAATAAAATGTCTTCCAAGGATGCAATAAAGTTCGAAAAACACCTCATGAAATAGATTGTAATAGACAAATGACGCCAATTACGCAAAAACTGAGCGTCACTCAGATAAAGGAGGTTTAATCTAGAATAACGATGGTTTACGCTTGTTTCAAGACGAGAATCGGAGGCACCGACACAACTAGAACATACGTAAGAAGCTCTATGAGTTCAACCACAGTCAAACAAAATCGACGAGGTGCAGTATGCAAATAATGTTTCAAAGTGTAAAAAGTAAAAACTGCAATCTACGCAATCTTAATTTTTAAATAAATATAATATTTTAAAAACAAGTTTGCTATGATGTATTGGGGGTCTATTTACTCTAATTTTTACATATATGCATGTACAGATACAACTTAAATTCCATTTTCCTTGAGAAGAAACGGCTTCTAAATTGATCTGTTTTACCTTATTTTTACTGCTTTTTTATGTCTTTTCAGTGTCTTTTTCATCTTGCGATTTATTCTGGCCTCAGTGTTTTGGATACAGGGTTAGCGGCAATAAATGTCAGATAGAATGCTCCCTTAAGATTTATAAAACTTCAAGATAGGATCAAAGCGTTACTGTCAAAGGCCTAGAGGGCATTGCTTTAGATTGCTTTTTAATTATTTAATCCGTGAATTCTAAATGTTTCTCTACTTTGTGCTCTACCGCATTGGAGAGAGTACTGTAGCGTCCCGAGACTCCCTGAAGACGAAAGAAGACAAAATACTCGGGCAGAATATATATATTCAGCACGGAGAAGGTGTCTGGGCTATTGGCATGGTCCAAAAGGCCAGCCCACCCAGCGAGGTACAAGGGGGCTAATTCTAAGTACAAAAGTGGCGCCTCACCAGAACCGAGGGATAAACCACTATCGTATT